CTTGCCTCCCCTGGGTGGCGATGGAGAACTAAGTCCATCTTTACTCCCTGTGATGGTTAATGTCAACTTGATAGTATCTAGAATCACCCAAGAGACACACCTCTGGGCATGCCTATGAGCCACTCTGAATGTCGATGTCACCATCCAAGGTGTGGTCCTAGACTAAAGAATAAAAAGGAGAAATGGAGTTGCAGTCAACTCTCCTCTTCCTGACTGTGGTATGATGTGACCATGCAGTGACCATACAGAAGGCAAAAGGTCCTTGTGCACACAGATAAACACCAAAGAAGCCAGGAAGACATAAACATGCTACTTCTCTCTCCAAAAGGAGAAGCTATTTAGCTGTTCTCCTGGAATGCTTGGGGTAAAATGTAGCTTACAACCTGGTAATTCTTTGCTCTCTGTTGAGCCAGGCTCTCCCCCTACCCACCAGAATACTATGTTTATCTCTGACCTTTTCCTCCTAAATCTTGAGCATTGCTTCTAGGCCATAGAACCTAACCCTATGGGAAATGGCACTTGTACTTTACAACAGCCTAAGTGACTTCTGTGATATCTTAGGTCATCCTTCCTAGCCCTTTATCATGAGCACTGTTTGAGTCAACAGAACCCATCTTTATGAAAGAAGCCATACATACTTTGTAAAGAGCTTCATTGTAAACATGTCTTAAGCTTTGCTGTACTTGTGGGACTGAGATAACTTATCAGAAAACTTTCTTCCAGAATTGTGCTGTGCTTAAATATAGCTTAAAAAAAGACTGGTGTCAGACTCTCAAAGATTTGGCCCAGTACCAGTACCTAATTTGGGTTTCATTCTTGTCCCCTTGTGGTTCATGTTCCTGCTACCCAGAAGGCCTGAAGGGAACTCCCATGTGACCAAGCACCTCACTCATGCCCCACACCTTCCCCACCATGATTGCACCCTTGAATCATGAGCTAACATGAGCCCTCCCTCCTTAACTTGCTTTTGTCAGACATTTTGTCCCAGCAACAGAACAGTAACAGATACACAGCCCAAAGTCACACCAGATGGGAGATGAGAGATATTTGTTAGTTAATCGGCCACTGATCTGGTTTGTCTGTGGAACAGAATGAAGCTTATTTTCCAGACCTTGAATGCATGCCAACCCCTTTATAGTCCTCTCTCCCTAAGCACTGATGCCCCTGCCTGAGCCTCCCTTAGGGTAACCCCTCTCTCATACCCTGGTTGATCATTGTGGGGCTATGCTTGTCACATATGGCTTGACAACTGGCTTTACCACCTGTGGCTCTGCTAGGAAATTTGATGGGAGCAGGAGCCTTGAGAGAGCAGAATGCTGGGAGGAAATGACAGAGGGAGTAAGGTTCCACTCTAAGCTGTCCATGATGTCAGCAGCATCTTCGGTAGAACACACTTCACCCACTGGAGGAGCCGAGTCATCCATCTCTCCATGAGCAATTGGAGATGTTAATCTCTTCTCTGGGGCTGTTTCTTAGAAAGGTGATCACAGACAGCACTCTGCTTAGTGTGTTTGTCACTGCCTGGCACAGGACAGTGTCATAATTTCACTCTGAACCCATGTTTCTCTTTTGAAAATTCAGGGTTCATCAAAAAAGGACAGTTACCTTATTCCACAGCCCCCTTCCCTTCTCCCTATGAAAGCTCATAGGGCTCTGTCCTTCTAAAATGACCAGCAAGAAGCTACCCAACTCTGTGGGGAGAATCAGAAGACATCCCCAACCCCAGGAGAAAATGATAGGAAGTAGGCTGTTTGCTCAGATGTTGCCATGGTGAGGCCACCAGCCACCATTCCATGCAAATTGGCAGAGATGCAGAGTCAGGTAGAAGTGGAAAGACTCAGCATTTAAAGAAGAAGCTGTGGGGACCATGTTAGCATGCTCAGATTGGAGTTTGCTGGGGAAGCCAAAGGCAGAGTGATGAACTGTGGAGTGTCTTCTGTGATTGACCTGGCTCACTGGGTGGGGGACTGAATGGGAACAAAGCGTAAGGAAGCCAACATCACTGACCATGTCACCATCAGCCTGGGACTGGAAGTACAGAGCTGTGCTCGGCTTCCTGTTAGGTTGCTGCAGATTTCTTGTGGTTTGTCAGGGTTGGAGAGACACAGTCAAACAATAGATAACACTGGGCAACAAAGTATCAGCAACTGTGAGTGACTTAAGGCCTTCATCATCACACATCTTCTCTGGGTCAGAAATCAAAATGTGGTTTAGCTGATCTTCAGGTTCAGGGTCTCTGACAAGAATGTAGGGTCACCAGGTTCTATAGTCATCATAACAATGATTGAAATTAGCCAGGCATCATAGAAGAAAGGACCTCATGTTCTTACGTCCTTGGTTCACCAGCCAGAGGTGCCGCACGAGAGCTCTGATTTCTGTCTTCCTGAATTTCTCCCTTGCTAGTGCTATAAGTAGGGGTGTGACTGACACTCTAGCCCAGACACTAATCCTTCTGGATCTCTATGGTGGACTCTCAATGGTGGGAGCAGGGCCATTCTTCCTTCCATAATTTTCTGTGGTTCCTTAACCATAAAATAACCTCTTTGCTCTTCCAGTAATCCCTGACTCGTTGGCATTTACCATGTTTTAAATTCAACCTGTCAGGCAAATGATTTCCTCTCTGGAGGTCCATACAGTAAGAAAGAACAAGGGAAGTAACAAAGCAAGGTTAATTACATAACAGCAGCAAGAGCTGTCTGGCCTTGGGTAGGATATGAATCACTTGCTCTGCAAAAATCACTTGGTGGCCTGAGAGGTGAGTAGAGAAGGGGGCAGCACTTTCCTATTTTGCAGAGCCAGTTGTGCTCAGAAGCAGATTTTATGTAAATTAACCTCTGTCTGCAAAATATCAACATATATTAGCAAGCATTGTACCCACAGCCCTCAGAGATTGGTATTGTGGCCTCCATTTGTGAATGGAGAGTTATCAAGCTAAAGTGATTGGGGAACGTGTAGTTCCAAGATTCCTACATGGCAGAGTTTTACTTTAGAGAGTGTGCAGTGTGTCCATATGTGTGTGCTTCTCTTCCACAGAGGCAGGGAAGGCATTTAATGGTAAGGAAGGTAGACATATAGAAAATACCAATCAGCATAGTTTCAAATGAACAGCAGCAAATCAGCCAACAGTAGCTCCGATAAACTGAGAGCTTAAATTCCAGATCAACCCAGCTTCTCTGCGTTTTCTTGGTCTCTCAGAATAATATCATACTGGCCAGTAAGCAGTGTTGGCTACTGGCTTCCAGGTCTCAGCTCTTCAGTCTATAGATAGGAAATCACAGTCCAGAATGGTTGAGTGACCTGACAAGTGTCTCAGGTAGGTGGCCATTGGATTTTGAACCAAGAATCCCAGTTTTTGGCCTTTTCTGCTCCCAATGGCCATGCTCCAGGCAGTCTGCTCTGTGACCTTGCTGACCTGAGTCTGTAATGCTCGTCTATCCCCTCACTGACTCAACAGGTTCGTTTCAACTGGCCTGGGTTTTAATGGCCTTAATGGTAGAAATGACACTTCCTATATTATACAGAGAAAGAAAAGATGGCTCAGTTCAGAGGTGACAGAGCCTCCCAACTTCACAAGGGAAGCTGGTGATTGTCATGGTTGTCAACTTTCAAAATACATCTTTAAATGTTTTAAAGATGTGCGGAATGGAATATGTTTCCTCCTTAGCCTAGAGCCTGCCATAGAGGTCCTAAAAACTCTTGGAAATTCCTGATGAATGCTTTCTTCATGCTTTAAATTGATTAGTGGTAGCTCCCAAGCTAGTGTTACGATGGCGTTTGAGAAGGCCCAGCCAGAGGCTCAAAGGAGGAAGAGACCTGCAGGGACTCAGCGGTAAATCCAGTGGTTTAAGCCATCATGCCTACTGAACAAGCAGACTGAAGACCTGATGGCTGGTTTGCATACTGCAGCTCAGTGGAGCTTTTTGGCCTGTGAATAGGCTGATGTGCCAGGAGGGTGACAACCAAGGGAAGGACACAGAAGCTATGTGTCTTTCTTCAACCTCATACAGTGCATGCCTGTTATAATAGAGCCATGTAATGGACTGGGGAGATAACTCAGTCAGTAAAATGTTTACCTTGTAAGCATGAAAACCTGAGTTTAATCCCAGAACCCCCATTTTAAAGGCTGGGCATGGTAGTGCACTGGGGAGGCAGACAGGTAAATCCCTGGGGTGCATGACAAGTCTAGCCAAGAAAGAAAGTTCCAGGCCAGTAAGACTCTGTCTCTAACTAACTAACTAACTAACTAACTAACTAACTAACTAACTAACAATGAAAGAGAGAACAAGGTAGATGGCTCCTGAGGAACAGCATTGAAGTTGTCCTCTGATCTACACACATACAATGTGATCACATATGTATACCTCCACACAAATCGCACATATGCATATGTCCCATCCAGCAGGGCGGTGAACATGGTCTGGGGGGGTGGGGAACCACCTGAAAGAGAGAATGGTGGAACAGGCGAACGCAAAGAACCACAGCTTGTCTATAGGCTGATCAAACCATTATTTTTACTTTTTCACACAGGGGTTATATATACATAAAGGCAGGATGTGGGGAAGGGGATGATACAGGAGCGTAGGTGTTTTCAGGGGGAGTACAGATATCTTCCAAAACAAGGTATCAGCTGGGTGAAGAAGCAGGGAACAGGTTACTATGACTCTGTCTATGATTCACTTGTTCCTTTTTTTCTTTTTCTTTATGTTAATTTAATTTATTCCACAACACCATACACTAATATTGTAGCAACTAAAAAGGAAACCATTCAAAGTAAAAGTTCACAATATATGAATGGGAACAGAAATTTAAACATAAATTCCAAAGGAAACAACCATGATAATATTTTATATTAAAAATGCCATTTCCTGTAACTAGTTAGAATTCATGAGGCCCTCCATATATTTCTGTAATGCTTTTGTACTCTATGTATACCAAACTCAAAAATTCTTAGCCATGGTTATGACTTCCATAGCAGCTTTCATACTCAAAGGTTATTTCCCTTATGCGGGGTTAACTGGAAGTCCAAAAATGGCTGGATTTGTCACAGGACAGATACTGAGGACTTGTTCTCCGTCATCTGGATGGGTATTTGCTGGCGAAAAGAATGGGCAAAATGGATCCGTGTCAGGAATTTCAAGGAATGTATAGATATGGGAGCCATCGCCAAGGTCCCAGAAAAAAATACTCTTCTTCACCAGGTCAAGGAAAGTACCCACTCTATGCAGCCGAGGGTTCACAAGTAGCGGAGTTAAGGGATCAGTGCTGGACCTATCTCTCACGCCCACGGTCCAGTAGCCATTTTTTTCTGACAAATAAATAGCCTCTTCTCGATTAATGATCTCTTTGCAAATGCCTATATACCACTCTTTGCTGGTTCCCACCACTACCTCCCAGTAATGGCGGCCGGAAGTGAACCGGGAAGAGCCCAGGACTCAAGGAGAAGTTTGGAATCTTTCTGCACATTTCTTTCGGTCTTGCTCCTGAGGCGTATAGTAGACACTCATCAGGTCATCAGAGATAATGAGGTTGTTTTGGGCTGTGTCCACATCTAAGGTCACGTTTACTTGAAATACCTTTATAACTGGGTTCATTGTCAGAATAAAATTCAGCGCCGATGCTACGTTTTTTATCTTGGTAATCAGGTTCCCTAACTGTTTAGCATGTATGATATCTTCTTTCAAAGTGACATCAGAACAAATGGAGCACAGTATACCGTCTCCTTCAGGACTTTTCTCTAGTGAGTCAAGGCATCGGAAGCAGCAGGTGTATCCACAGGTCAAGTACACAGGTTTTTCCAGATAATGAGAGCAGAAATAACAGCTACTATTCTCTTTAAAGAGATGAGCCATGGTCAGTGCCTCGTTTAGTCAGTCAAGCTTTGGTTGGACTCAAGAGAATGAAGACCATTACTTCTCCAGGCTGGGTGTTGAAAGTCTGTGTCCCACCTTGTACTGCTTAAGTGAGGAGCCCTGTGTCCCTACACTGGCTGGCAAGGACTAACTTCAGACAATACTTGTAGAGTAATAAGTCTTTCCTCTGTCCCTAGCAGAGGGCTGAGAAGTGAAGAAGGTATTGCCTAATTGTGCTCACCTCTCCTCTGCTGGTCTCTCTTCCGGCCCCCAGCTGAATTCTGATTCACTTGTTTCTTATTTAAGCTGGTACTTTCCACCAAGGCTACCTATCCATAAGGTCTATGACTACTAGTCCTTATCCAGGCTTGTAAATTTCCACCAAAGCTGCCTGTTTACAAGATCTTATAGCTATCTGTTTCAGTGTTTTTCCACAGAGACCAAGACTTTGTGTTAGCAAGCATGTATGGCTAACTTAGGCCTATTGCTGATTTTAGGCCTTCACTGTATAAGCAAGGGTGTTCCTGACATCTCCTCCTTTCTCTAAGTATAGAAGGATTGTGGAGATTCTAATCTTGCTAAGGTGGGGATAGAGGCCTGACCTCCAGTAATTAAAGGGGACCTTGTAATGGCTCTGGTCCTCCTGTCATTGTTCAGTGAGGCATACTGATACCATACCCGTCCCGATATCTTTTTCCTGGAGAGGGGATACTTTTGACATCAACCCCTATGCAGTCAGGCTTGTCCCTCAGGGAACCCAGAGAGATATTTTTATCTTTTATTTTTATTCCCTTGCAGTGCTTAGCCTCGCAGCCTAAGCAAGAATTTAGATCGCCAGTCAGAGGGGGTTCTGAGTGGCCCCTCTCTGCTTGGTCTAGGGGCGGAAGTCCCCTCCCTAGTAACTGGAGGCCCTTTTTGAGTTCTCTGTGATATTTTTTTATCAAGCTGTCAGACCCTGAAACTGTGGACAGGCAGGCAGTTATGGGTGCAGGCAGGCAGACTGGGGTCACTGGAACTGGCATCTAGTGTCTGAAATCAGGGGTGATCCCCCTCCAGGTAGCTCAGTTGCAGTAAGGCAAGGTGCAAGGTATCAAACCAGGCCTACAGGCCTCAGAGACCTTCCACTGCCAGGACAGGATAGCCCTCTCTCCTCTCCATGCTTGTCACACACATAGCAAGTACTCAAATCTCTGAACTTCCCACAACTGAATTATCAGCTCTTTGAGAAAAATGATTGCTCCTTGTCGGTTTTATTGCCTTTTCCTGCCACCATCCTTGGCCAATGTAAGTACCTGTGTTTAATGAATTAATAGCTAAATGGCTGACTACCGCGTGCTCAGCACTCAAACTGCGATTTCTGCCTGGTGCCTTCTGTCTTCCCTATTTCCTGCACAAACAGGATAATTGCTCCACACAAGCGCCACTCTCTCCCAGGTGCACTCTGTGCTCTGCTGAAGAACAGAGGCTGCCTGCTGCATGGAAGATTAACTTCTTCCTGCCCATCAGCTGTGCGCCTAAGAAGAAATGATCTACTGGCCAGCTGAATGGCTGAACTTCACAGGTGGGGCATGTCTCAGGAAGGAACTGTTCCCTGCACAAGTCTTCCTATGCTTTTTGTCTGCCTTCCAGAAAATGGACTGATGCATTAGTGATTTGAATCTCTGGATGTGTCTTTGTGGGTGTTTGCAGATGAAAGAAGAGCTGTCTCAAATGTGGGTAGCACTGTGCCACGACATGGAGTTTTGGAATGAATAAAAATGAGTAGAGCCATGTCTGGGTCTGTGACCCTGCAGCAGCAGAGGACTGTGCTGTCCATGGGTCATATTACCACCAAAGACCATATGGACGTCTCTGGTCTATGCTACCACCTGGGGCCATGTTGACTTCTGAGGACTACACAGAGCTGCTTACACATCATACCAGCTACAGTTCTCAGGAGAGCAGGCCTGCACCTTGCCTGGGCAGCACAGTAGAGCTGGCCCTGGTGGCAAGGATGCAGGTGAACTGGCCCAGCGGGCATGAGTATGGAGGAGCTGGCCCTGCCTCTTACCTGGGCAGTGTGCAGGAGCTGGCCCTGAGGGTGTGAGAATGGGAGAACTGGCCCAGATTGTATGAGCACAGGAGAGCCACTTTCCAGCTGCTGCAGACAGGAGAGATAACTTCACCTCTTGCCTGGGCAAAGTGGGAGACCTGGTGGCATAGACGTGGGAAAGCTGGCAGGCTGCCAACTCAGCTACCACCAGGCCCAGATCCAGTTGAGACTCTGCTTCAAAAGGCCAAATATATATATAATTAACAGGTAAAAAAGAAATCCAGATGACTCCTCTAGGACTCCTGTCTTTGCCCTGGACCTGCTCAGATATGTGAGTAGCCCCACACTCCTGCTGCCAACCCATGGTGGCTCTAGCTACATACTTCCCCCATCATGTGGACTGTTCCCTCAAACCATGAGCTAAAATAAACTAAAGCCTTCCTTAAGTTGCTCTCTGTTATGTATTTGGAATACAGCAAGAATAGTAACAAAAACCATTTCTAGCCTGCACTATGAGGATGTGATCCTGATCCAACCCTTAATAATTCAGTGGTAAGGAGAAAAGAAATCCATGGTTTGCCTGGGAGGGAAAGTCCAGAACACTTAGGAGATTTCAGGTCAAGGATCTGCATAGCGGAGTCAAAGGTAAGGGACATGCAAAAGACTCTTGTTGGCAACAGGAACAGTCCAGGAGGTCCAGGAGATCCAAGAAGGGCCTGTGGGGTCTGGCTTTGAACAAGCTGAATGCAGCCTGGCGAGCCAATGGAAGGCTGAAAGACCTGCTCGGGAAGGCAAGTTTGGGCACCACCAGGTACCAGGTGAAATAAATGAGATTCCATGGATACAAACCGAGGGAGATACTCATGCCCAGATTTGTGCAAGTGTCTCTACACTACCAGCCTGCTAGTCTACCAGCTTCCCCATGGTAGAGTCCCAGTAGAGCATATGAACCAGTGCAGGATTCTTCATTGTCTGAATGGGAACCAATGTGTTAGTAAGAGCCTCAGGCTAGACACTGCAAAATACTAAAGTCCTAACACATAGCACTGTGTAGAAACTCTCCTCTTCTGCAGTTGGAAGAAGTACACACTACTTAGGATGGGATTCTTGGCAGACCTTAGGCAAAATAAGAGGTAGAAAGGCGTGAGTAGGACTCCTACATGGAAGTTTTTGCTTCTGACGTGGGAAGGATTTTATCAAAACTGGCCTTGGCTCCTCAGCATGTGGCCAAGAGGTGGGATTTGAACTTAGCATTACTAGCCATCAAGCCAAGGACAGTGTCCACCCATGCCCACTGCATCTTGGGTCAGGGTCTAAGCTTCTCGACAACACTAGCATGCTCTGCAGGCGAGGACTTAACCACTAATTGGCTTGACTGCTCTCTAAACCCACAAGTCACAGGCTGGAACAAAAGCCCCAAGAATTCCCACACAAAGAGCATGATGTCTGAGAAGAAAGAAGCCACTCGGGCTGGTGAAAAACTGTTGTGTTTAAAGTGTGAGATTCTTGTCTTCCAGCTGGTGATGCTGTTTTAGAAAGTTTGTGTACCATATCTTCTGAAGAACTGCAGGTAGATCATAATTCAAGGCAGTGTACCGGATAGACCATGACATGTTTCAAGGCACAGGCCAAGAAGATTCTGTACGTTTCTACCACCTGACCCCTCTTACCCCCTCCCCTTGTAAAACATGCTATAAAAAAGCATTTCATGTTCAAAAAAAAATACTTGAATATATTTCTAAGTTTTCTCCTCCAGTAAAGGCAAACATGAAAATAAAAAGAAAAAAGAAAAAAAAGAAAGTTTGTGGAACCTTTTGGAGGTGGGGCCAAGTTGGAGGAAGTATGGAGTGGGTGGGGCTTTTAGCCACGCCCATTTTCTGTCTGCACTCTTCTTCCTGACTGCTGCTGATGCGATGTAACCGCTGGCCATCTGAACCTTCTCCTGCTATTGAATGCTCTGCTCCTGCACCGCGCCTCCTTCACCAAGATGGACTCTGTCCCCTCAAGTCATAAGCCCAAATAAACTCTTTCTTCATTAAGCTGCTGCTTGTCTGGTGTTCGGTCACAATAATGAAGCCAGACAACCAGTATTGAGGAGGGGCGGGGTGGAGGGAGTTTGTAGCACAGTGCTAGGCATAGCTGCCTTCTTCAGTGTTTACTCACTTTTCTGAACAAAGTCTACGGTCTTCTATCAATAAGGCTGCAGTTTATAGAACTACGACTGCTTAATGCATAATGCTTAGTGACATAATGCAAGCACTTTATCTGCTCTATTTGATCCTTCAGCAACCCTGGACTGAAGAAAACGACACTGACGCTCAGAGAACACCATTTGGTTGCATATAGGCTGGAACAGGCTGAGACAGAATTGAGCCTCCTATTGATTGGCCCTACCAGAGCCAGGATACCCACCCCTGCACCCTGCCTCTCCCGGCTTCTGAGACACAGGAAGAATCCAGCCTTTGCCTCCACTGAATCATCCTTCCCTGAAGAGCACCTCCAAGGACAGAGAGTGTTCCTCCAAGGACAAAGAGTGCTCAGCCTCCCCGAGGAAGCAGTTCCAGCCTTCTCTCACATTGTTCTAAAAAGATCTCCTTTCTGAAGAACACAATTGCTTCTTGCTGTAATTTCAATTCATTGCTTCCTGTTGAGTTTACTTGGGAAAAAATTAAGGAACTGAAATAAAGTGTTATTTTAAATATTACATCTCCATCCTCATCAAAAGCAGCTCCCCTTTCCTCTCAACCCCTTGACAACAGAAACTCATTGTTTACCTCCAAGATAAATGTACAATTGGTAAAAAAAATAAAGTATGTTTTTGAGTAACAAAATAAAAAGTATTCATTGCTCAAAAATTGTAGCTGCCTGCGGTCATGGACCAACTGGGTTCCCCTGAAAGGGGGGCTGGAAATGAAAAAGGGGAGATGGAGAGGCAAGAAAAGCATGAAGCCAAGACAAAGTTCTCTGA